AGGCAGCAGGGCAGTGTTTATACATAGTAGGTTTCATTTCACTTCGGCATCTCCTCTTGAGGCCTAGAACAACAGAGGCATTTATAATTTCTGAGAAGGATCAAAATGGTCCACCAGACCTACTCATTGCCCCGCAATGCTCATACTTCCATTCACAAGGAAGGCATGGAAAATAAACCATTAAACCTCCATGGGGTGATGTATCTTAAACCAGTTCTCTTTTAATGCTTTCTTGTGGTAAGTGGTTCTGGTGGTCAGGGAAAGTGAAATGGGGAAATAGCAACTATAGTTAGTGTTGCAGGCACATGATTTATACATGTGTGCGCACATATATGTGTGCTGCTCAGGCCGGCAGGAATAACAGAGACAAAGGACCAGGTCTGAAGTCTTCCCTTGTTTGTGCTGTCCTGCTGATTTCCCGGAGAGCAATTCTGAGTGTGGAGTCCTCTGCATGCCATCTCACTGAGGCAGCCTGTACCACAATGAGTACCACTTCCTTTACCACCATGGGCATGGTAGGAAAGGGGAAGGGAAAGTGCGAAGGGAATAACCATTACCCCTATATCAGGGCTTGTTTACGGGTCCTATGTTGTGACACCCATCTCCTGGGAATAAAGTTTAAGTTGGTAGCATGTGGGCCGTGTTCCAGTGAGGGGAAGCAATCCTTCAACGGTCTTCACATCCCTGTAATTCTTTTGAAACAGCAGCATGAAGAAATCACCAGGTAGGCGAAGGGGCACCCTCGGCTCACAGGTAGGGTGGCTTCTTCCCTTCTTGACGCTCTAGCCCCACACTTTTACTTTCCACAGCGATCACCAAACCAATTCTCTGTCAGCAAGTAGAAGAAACTTCTCTCTCTCTCTCTCTCTCTCTCTCTCTCTCTCTCTCTCTCTCTCTCTCTCTCTCTCTCTCTCTCTCTTTCATTTTTGAGACAGGGTTTCTCTGTTTAGCTTTGGAGCCTGTCCTGGAACCCACTCTGTAGACCAGGCTGGCCTCGAACTCACAGAGAGATTCGCCTGCCTCTGCCTCCCGAGTGTTGGGATTAAAGGCATGCACCACCACCGCCCGGCCAGGAGAAACTTTCCTGGAAACCCGGGCAGCAGTTATTTCCAGTCACACTTACAGACAAGCTCTCGGTAGGGTCAAGCTGCCACAGCCACAGCAACTTAGATTTCCCCGAAGGTTAGCGCAAGTGTTTTCTGATCTGCTATGACACAGAGATGGATTTAAAATGATCAAAATAGAATAAGTGATCTTAAAGTTTTGTGTTACTATTGCACTTTTTCTAAAGCTGGTCCTTTAAATTTAAAGAATTAAAAATTAAAGAAAAATGTGACTTTTTTTTTTAAAAAAAAGACTAGCTAAGCAACAGGTTAATTTCTAAAAAATTATAAAAATTGACTTGAGAGCCAGGTGGTGGTGCTGTACTCCTTAAACCCAGTGCTTGGGAGGCAGAGGCAGGTGGATCTCTGTGAGTTCGAGGCCACCCTGATCTACAAAGTGAGTTACAGTACAGCTAGGGCAACCCTGTCTCGAAAAACAAAAACCAAAACAGAACAAAACAAAACAAAAAAAACTGACAGAAGGATACTATTAACACAATAACTTCTTAAATTATTTTTCAAAATAAGGCATTTAGCTAAAAAAGAACTTATCCCAATAAATAGTAAGGCTGCTTTTTCTTTATAGCTGGTATTTTTTTAAAAAATAAAGTAGGCTATCTTACACCAATATTAGTAGAAAGATTTTTATCTTGAAAAAACTAGCTATGTGTATTTTAAAGGAATATCTTTGCTATTTGGGAGGACTGTTTGGACATTAACCGTGTACCATGTCCATTTGGGGATTTGTTAATTATTGAAATAAAGCAGAGAATAGAAAGTGGTCAAAGTTCTGCTATTGTTATGATTTTATAATAACTCCATTCCAGATAACTACATGCATCTTTTTAAAACCTTCTCAAAATAAATATTAAAAAATAAAATAAAAAGCATCAAGGGCCAACCAGAAGGCAGAGGGGGTGAAGGTGTTTGCTGCCAATACTGGTGATCTAAGTTTAATACCTGGGACTCAGCGAGAACCAACTCTTAAATATTGTCCTTTGACCTCCATCTGTGTGCCGTGGCAAGGGCGCCCACACATACACACCCAATAAATAATAAATATAAATGTAATAAAACATTAAATAAAACCAAAACAACCCAACCACCTAGACAGCCTCGTGTTTAGTATTTTTCCAAGATGCTGATTTGGGGTGGGGATTGTACTGTATTGTTTGTCAACTGTTTGCCTTCTTCAGAGAAAATGCCCATGCTACAGCTAGAAAATAAGTAAGAAGCATGTCTTAAATTTCTCTGTATTTATTTCACGTTTCTTCGCATAGCAAGTATACAGTGTCCCTTTATGGACTGATCGGGCCAGCTACCCATATGGGGCTCATATAACATACATGGGCATTTCAGCCTGGGTGGAAAATGGAGAAGCTGCAGAGAGGAACGTTGGCATCTCCAGAGAGCTGAGTCTTTTCTAGCCCTTGCTTGTATTTTAAGATTAATAAAACAGAGTCAAATCAGTATGGACTTTTATGTCTGGAATGAAGAGAAAGAGAGAGAAATTCCACAGACAAGAATGTGTAAAATAAGAATGGCCTTTGGCAGCCCGATGCAGAACATTTGGAGAAAACAGGAGCCTCTGTAGAATTTGAAAAGGAAGAGATTCCGCTTGATTGACCTGCCAGACTGACTTTTCTCAGTAGCCTGAGCAGCAGACAGCTGTAAATGCCATCACCCAAATGCCAAAGGGTCACGAACTCTGATCCTGAAGGTTTCCTGTGTTTTGATTAATTTTGCATCTGGATATATATTTTGGGAAGTTGATTTTTTCTTTTTGTTCTTTTTCTTTTTACAGTGGTCGAAGCCAACAGACTTCTCTAAAGCCATGTTCTTCCATGCCAGTATACCATTCCTTTGGTTGCTATCTGTCCCTTCCAAAGTCACAGGTCTCTGGGGGAAAACAAAAGCTAGTGAACCCTTTTTTGTGTTCCTGAACTTGAGTGAAGTCTGGTCTCGGCGTGTCTAACTTTACCTCTTGCAAACATAAAGAGAAATCTTTAATGTGAATAAAACCTAACCTTGATGACAGTGGCTAGAAATATTCCTTAATAATTTAAAATAAATTAAAGGGTCATGTGTGAATATAAAAATTTGGAAAACATACTAAAATTAATCAAAGTTATAGGTAATTAAAACTTTATATGTATGTTTTAAGATACATGACAAGTTTTCCACAATAAGGATGTATTATTTTGAGAACTGGAACAATTTAACCTTATATAAAAAGCACTTTGGATTTTTTACCCATAATCATATCTCAAGACCAGAAGCCTGAGTCCTCTGAGGATGCACCTATGAGTACAACAGTGAGGTGTGAGCTGGAGTATCCAGGTAGCCTGTCTGGACTCAATGGGAATCTATCATCCAGTTCTAGGATGCCTAAGTTCTCTTATGGTCCTACCACAGAGGGGGCCATATTAGCTGAAAATGGATTTAAAGAAAAGTAGACTATAGGTAGGATCCACTACTAACATGTTCTTTAATATTATATTTATTTACTTATTTGCTGAGTGTTTTTCTAGCTCCAGACGGGGCCTGTTTTTAAATTATTGTATTCCTATTTAAAGTTTAATTAATTTTACATCCTGACAAAAACTTCCTCTCCCTCTTTTTCCCATTCCCTCCTGCTACCTCCCCTGTCTCCCACCCTGTTGGAAGGAGCTACAGGCTGCGTTCCTGCCACCTGGCTCCCGGCTGCCTGGCTAGCTTATGCCCCGAAATAACAACACACAAACTGTATTCTTTTAAACACTGCTTGGCCCATTAGCTCTAGCCCTTACTGGCTAATTCTCATATCCTGATCAACCCATCTCTAATAATCTGTGTAGCACCAGTCTTACCTGGAAAGATTCAGCATGTCTGATCTGGCGGCTGGCTCCATCGTGTCTGCCCCGGAGAGCAGAAGCAAAGCATGGCGTCTGTCTGAGGCGTCTTACCTCACTTCCTCTTCCTCCCAGTATTCTGTTCTGTTTTCTCTGCCTATCTGATTTTCTGTCCTATCAGGACCAAGCAGTTTCTTTATTTAACGAATGACCTTCCTCCATCACCACCCCCCTCAATTCTTACTCCTCCTCTGTTTCTATTCAGAAAGGGGCAGACCTCCCGTGTACCAATAAAGAATGGCATATCAAGTTGCAGTAGTATTAAATGCCTCCTCTTATATTTAGGCTGGGCAAGGCAATTCAGTATAAGAAATAGGTTCCTAAGGGCCAGATGAAGTTTTAGGGACATCTCCTGCTCCCACTGTTTGCAGTGCCACAAGTGGACAGAGCTACATAACTGTCACATGTATGTAGAGGGCTTTGGTTGGTCCCATGGGGGCTCCCTGCTTGTTGATTCAGACTCTGTGAGTTCCTATGAGCCAGGTCAGGTGACACCTTTGATCTCTCTGGCTCCTGTAATTCTTAGATGACTGAAAATGGAGGGGACTTTTCAGGGCCAGGTAGAAATTTGTTGCAAGGGAAACTCCCACAAATCTACAAGGATGACCCCAGCTAAGACTCCTAGCAATAGTGGGTACATATCTTAAACTGGTCATCTCCTGTGATCAGATTGGTGACTGATTATCATCAGAGAGCCTTACGGAGTAACTGATGGAAACAGATACAGCCAAACATTAGGCTGAGCTCAGGGAATCCTGCTGAAGAGAGGGAGGAAGGACTATGAAGAATTATAAGAGCCAGAAAGGTCAATGAATATTATGTTTATTTTTATTATGATTTAAAATATGTTTAAATGTATATTTAAAAGCTATGGATAACTGAGTGCAGGGACTGTGTACTAGGTTTTGCTGTTGTTCTCTGAACTCCCATGACAAACCTTTACACCAAAGAACTGCTCTACAAATACTATTGAGCTAACCTAACATGACCCTATTTTTCACTCTAGGGTGAGCCAGGTCCTCCTGGTCCTTATGGTCCCCCAGGAGCCCCTGGTATTGGACAGCAAGGTGTTAAGGTAAGGATACTTGCTTCGTTGTCAGAGATGCATTTTCTGCAGCAGTTAGGTACATTTTGGGTCTTTGGACAATGCAGCATTGTGGTCTCAGACAGTTACTGTGAGAATAATCAAGATGCATTTTGATTTGGTTGGAATGAAAACTTTTGTGTGTCTCCAAATATCCCACCTCTCATAATGCACACACGGTTCTGTTGGGTTTCTTGGGCTTTAAACACTAACGTGCAAATATACTATTGGGAAGTGTGTCATCTTAATATGTAAACTCCCATCTACTCATATAACATGGGCAGAACCCAGAGGCCCACATTACTGAGTGAGTAAAGGCTGTCAGGGAGATCTGTAAGAAACTACAGAGGTAGGGAGCATCCTTGGGTGCTCCGTGTAACGCTGAACATGTGAGAGAGCAGTGCTGTGAACTGATTTAGGCTTTAATATATAACTGAAGGGGGGAGTTTTCTTCAGTTTGGTTAGAAGGCAGTCAAGTGCTCCCAGGCACAGCATGTCAGCAATGACAACACAGAGACTCCAGGGGGAACTTACAAGGCACAGTTACTGGAGAAAAGTTCTTTGGAAGGAGAGCAAGTGTGAGACAGAGTTTAAGAACAGGTGAAATGAATAGCGTGGGGACAAGGAAGGGATGGCAGGAATAGTCACATCTTATCTTGGCCATCACAGGAGCACCTGCAGTTCTTCTCCAGTTGCTTATCCGGGCAATTTGTTTGCTTCAATTCACATTCAAGCCAATTAGCCTCCTCTGTATATCTTTGTTGTTGTTCTTGAATATGAAAAGTTTGGCTATAATCTCTGTTGAAATCCACTGCACATTTTCTATCATCTTATTATTTATTTAAAAACTCACCGTGTAACTCTGCTCTTTCTGTTTCAGGGAGAAAGGGGCCAGGAAGGAAGAACAGGAGCCCCGGGACCGATTGGAGTTGGTGAACCTGGACAGCCTGTAAGTAGCAAAGAAATGGTAAAACTTAATTCTTATGCATTTGTTCTGATAAAAATAAATGAGCAAATGATCCTACTTTGTATGGTTTTATGTTAAGAGGTACTTCAATAATAGAAGTATGTAAGAACCAGATACATAATACTTTTCATGCTTGAAATAAGGCTACATGTATAGTGTGGTAGTTTGAATGTAATTGGCCCCCATAATCTCATAGGGAGTGGCATTATTCGAAGGTGTGGCTTAGTTTGGAGAGATGGCTCAGAGGTTAAGAGCACTGGCTGCTCTTCCAGAGGTCCTGAGTTCAATTCCCAGCAAACACATTGTGGCTCACAACCATCTATAGTGGGATCTGATGCCCTCTTCTGGCATAAAGTTGTACATTCAGAAAGAACACTCATATACATAAAATAAATAAATCCGTCTTAGAAGGTGTGGCTCTGTTGAAGTGGATGTGTCCTCATTGAAAGAAGTGTATATGTGTGTGTGTGTGATCTTTTCAGTTGATCTTCTCTCACTGTAGTCTCTTGTAAGATTAATCAGCTTGGCAAAGAAAAAGAATTTAATGTGTCGAAGTTTCCCAGGAGATGACAGCTCTGGATTATACCTGGTGGTTGACAGGACTGTAGCCCTGAGAACAATGAGACTGGAATAAGGCTGAGAATCTTCTCATTACGTAATCCTTGCGAATGCTCTAAAGTTGGGATTGGTGGTGGGGCAAAGAGAAAGCCTGCTTTATTTGCAGCTTCCACCTTATGTGGCTTTGAAGTTTGCTATTGTTGGAAAAGGAAAAAAAGGTTCTGTCAAGAGAGATCTGAAGAGGAAATGAATAAAACATGACTCTTCTGTTATGAGGATCTTCGTAACTTCTCAAGTAATTTTTATTCTTAGCAAAGAGCTGTAGCCAGCTTACTAAGGCAGAAGCAAAAGCAGCTAGCTGCAGCAATAGCCTCCCTGTGTGGTTTTGCATTGCTTGTTGCCTTATGGAATCGCTAACAGAAACGTGTTTCTTTGTAGTACCTATGAATGAAACAGCAGTAGATTGCCTGAGGGTTGGTGTGTGTGTGTGTGTGTGTGTGTGTGTGTGTGTGTGTGTGTGTGTTGTCTATGGTTTCAGGGCTCTATGGGGCTGGAGGCGGGCATTGTATCCCCCGGAGTTGGAGTTGAGGGTGTTGTGAGCTTCCCCACTGTGGGTGTTGGGACCAGAATTGGGGTTTTCTGCTAGCGTAGAAAGATCTCTAACTGCAGAACCATCCTCTAGTCCTCTAGTCCTTTGATTTCTCTATAGAGCTTATATATTTATCCATTATTAACATTGGTCTACATCATTTCATCCTACTAAATTATTTATTATTATTGCAGTATTTTTTCAGTTTACATTTATTTAGTTTTACCCATATCTTTAACAGTCTCTTAGTTTATGATAACTTCCCTCTTTCATTCTCTCTCTCACTCCTTTCTTTGTTTTTTCTTTTTTTAACTTTTGTATCTTAGACAGGGTCTTATGTAGCCCAGGCTTGCCTTGAGTTCCCTGAATTTCTGATCTTCCTACCTCTACCTCCATAGTGCTGGGCTGACAGGTCTGTGCTATTCCACCCATTATTTTGTGGTGCTGCGTGTTGAGCCCTGGGCTTCATGGATACCAGGCCAATGTTCCACTAGCTGAGCTATTGTACCAGACTTTCACCATTTCCACTTGCCAGATTTCTTTCCTTCTTTTTTAGAAAGTGCAGTTTTAGTAGCTATTTGGAGTGAAAGTATATTATCAGGAAGCTCAGTCTTTAGCTTATATATTTTGTGTTCTATTAATTTCCAATTAATTAATTTTGTTTTCCATTTTAAACTTTTATTTATTATCTGTGTGTGTGCAGACATGTATGTTGGGGGAGAGCACTCACATGTCATGGCCTCTGGAGTTCAGATCATGAGTGCGTTACCAATGTCACACACTGAGCTACAGGATTTGAAATTCACTACATAGCTTGGATTTTGCTATGATCTGATTGTAACTGTGCTCTAGTTCTTCCTTCTTAGAATAGAATAGAAAAAAATAAGTTTGTAACTTAGTTTGGATTTTGGAGGAGCCCACAGATAAAAGATTTTAGAGTTCCAAAGAGAACTTAGACTTTCCTTTTTCTTTTTTTTTTCACACCATGTAATTTTTATTTAATTGAAATTTTACATACCACTTCCAGTTCCCACTCCTCTGCTCCTCCTTCTCTCTCCCCCACATCCACTCATCAGAGAGAGTAGGACTTTCCATGGGGAGTCAACAAAGTCTAGCACATCACTTTGGGGCAGCATCAAGGCCCTTCCCATTCTATCTAGGCTAATGTAACCCTCCAAAGAGAATGAGCGCCAAAAAGCCAGTTAAAGCAGTAGCGATAAATCCTGGCCCTGCTGCCGGTGGCCCCGCAGTCTGTCCCAGGCACACAACTGTCACCCACATTCACAGGGCCTAGTGTGGTCCTAGGCTGGTTCCCCTGCTGTCAGTCCAGAGTCAGTGAGCTCTGTTTAGCTCAGGTCAGCTGTTTCAGTGGGTTTCACCCTCATAGTCGTGTATGCCTTTAATCCCAACACTCAGGAGGCAGAGGCAGGCAGAGATCTCTGTGAGTTCAAGGCCAGCCTTGTTCTACAGAGCAAGTTCCAAGACAGGCTTGAAAGCTACACAGAGAAACCCTGTCTCGAAAAACAAAACAAAACAAAAGAGACAGAACTTGGACTTTTAAAGTGTTGAAAATTATGCAACTTTGAGACGGTTTCATGTTTGTTTTTAAGATGAGCTCTTAAGAACAAACAGCAAAGGTTGTGACTTAATAGTGATGTGTTTGTGTGCAGCTGACAAAGGAGGAGTCAGCTGTGTTGCCTAATTTTGGTCAACTTGGCACAAACTAGAGTCATGGAGGAAAAGGAACCTCAGTTGAGGGACGTTTTCTATTAGATTGGCCCAAGGACACGTCTGTGGGGGCGTTTCCTTAATTGCTAATTGGTGTGGGAGCACTCAGACCGCTGTGGGTGATGCCATTCCTACACAGGTGGGCCTATGATATATAGGACAGGCAGAGGAACCAAGCCAGTGAGCACCGTGGGTTCTGCCTTGTGTCCCGCTTTCAGGTTCCTCCCTGAGCTGACACTGTAGCTTTCCTGCATGATGCACTGTAATTTGTAGACCAAATAAACCCTTCCCTCTCCAAGGTGCCCTTGGAAATGGTGTTTTATCACACCAATAGAGAAACAAACTATCAAATTTGGTGAATCTTTGTGGAACGAATAAGTGAACTCAATACATTTGTTCCTCTTGTTCAATGTAATTTTATTTTTTATTTGTTATGTCATTAGTGAAGAGTAAGTTGCCAATACGTTTGCTGTTAAATTATGTAACATTAGCTTGGCACTTTTCAGTCTAGTTTGCTATTTAGTTTCTATGCTCCTTTAAATTTTTACTCTAATTAATCGCTTGGCCATTAGAGCAAACTGTCATAGTATTAGACTTTTGATTAATGTTTTGGAATTAAAAGCTAGTTTCCCCATAAGCATTGCAATTTAAATTAAATTTCATGTTAGCCTTTTCTTTTAATTAAGTCTTTACCAAGTAGACTGCGCATAAATAATAAAGACCAACTTTTAAAAATGCAATATTAAGAAGAAGCAAAAAAATGTGTTCAAGACTGGGATAGAGTTAGGTTTTTGTTTGTTTGTTTTTAAGACAGGGTCTCTCTGTGTAGACTAGAGAGACCTGATTATGTAGACCAGGGTGGTTTTGAACTCAGAGATTCACCTGCCTCAGCCTCCCAAGTGCTGGGGTTAAGGACATGTAGCACACACAGCATACTACTTGTGACACACATGGCATGCTGAGTCCTGCTCTGCTGCCCCTTTTGTGCAGAAAGCATCTCTAAAGCTTTTGGCTTGTGCTGGAGATGTGAACTCAAGTTCCACGATCATCCAGTAATACTTTACCTCTGGTTATCTCCTCAGTGGCCCAAACTAGAAATGTTTTAATTTTTATTCATTTTTAATCTATATCGGTTTCTTGCCTGCATGTATGTCTGTGCGCCACATGCATGCCTGTTGTCCACGGAGGCCAGAAGAGAGTGTTGGATGTCTTGAAACTGGGATTACAGACAGTTGTGAGGCATCATGCGGATGCTGGGAATCAAACCAGGTCCTTTGGAAGAGAAGCCAATTCTCTTGACCTCTGACCATCTCTCAGTCCCCCAAATAGAAATTTTCAAAGCTCAAAAAGTTTCCCTCCTCTTGGGGGTGGGGTGGGGAAATGAATAGGAAATGAGAAATATTTCCTCTAATAGATGGATTGATGGGGTTGCCTAGCGAAGGGTGTTGGCCTGCGATAGTCCACTGAATAGCCAACAAGCTCCAAAGCCAGCACACTGACCACAGTGATGCACTTCTGTAATCCCAGTACTACTGGTCCTGAGGCTCACTGGCTAGCAGGGTAGACATCTGTAAGCCCAGTACTACTGGTCCTGAGGCTCACTGGCTAGCAGGGTAGACAGAAATCATGAGCTCTGAGTTCAGCGAGAGATCTTGTCTCAGAAAGTAAGGGCTCTGGAGAGCTGAAGAGAAGGCTCAGCAATTGAGAGCATTTATTGCTCGTGTGGGGACTCAAGTTCAGTTCCCAGCACCAATGTCAGACGGTATCATAACTTCCTGTCACTCCAGCGCAGGGGACGCCCTGCCCCATACACATACACATAGTAGAAGAAAATGCCTGGTTGTGATGCAAACCTGTTTTTTCTTTTAGTTTTCCACAAGTGGGTTTGCCGGCAGCCCACTTTTTCCTGTGCTGTGTTCTTTTTTACTATATGAGAAGCCCTCACTTCTCCTGGTGCCTTTCTGGGAGAAGCTACGAGGGCTGCTTAAAGCCGGGCGATGGTGGCACACGCCTTTAATCCCAGCACTCGGGAGGCAGAGGCAGGCGGATCTCTGTGAGTTCGAGACCAGCCTGGTCTACAGAGCTAGTTCCAGGACAGGCTCCAAAGCTGCAGAGAAACCCTGTCTAGAAAAACAACAACAACAACAACAACAACAAAAAATCATCACGAGTAAACACCAAGTTCCCGCATTAATGATCTTAGGAAGATACAGAATTTATGCACAAATTGTGAATACACTCGGCTTCAAAAATAATCCGAGTTTGTAAGGTCAGAAAGAGGGACCAGTGGTCATGCTTCTCAGTGGAGAGCTTTTCCAGGCTCTCCAATATTTGCTCAGATGAGTAAGTCTCCCTGTGTCTTCTGACCACACAGTCCTGGATCTCTTGTCCCATGGGATGTATTTTCTTATCTCACGTATTTCCACTCTCCTCTAACTGGAACACCAGAAGAAGCTCTTATGGCATTCCAAGAGAAGGAATATTGAAAACAGTGAGGGCCCTGCTACTCACAGGTTCCCAGCTGACAGGAGGGATCACACGAGAAAGATTCTTACTAAAACAGAGTGGGATCATATTGTCACCATGTCTGCGGGAACGGAAATTAACCATTCTCTTCTGTTCCCCCCCCTCCCATCTTGCCATCTCCCATTCTCACCCCTGTTCTCCTCCCCATTCTTTCCTACCAGGGTCCTCGGGGTCCTGAGGGAACACCAGGAGAGAGAGGCCCACCAGGAGAAGGGTTTCCAGGACCAAAGGTAACAAAAGCTTCTGAACCAGTGGAAAAAGTGCTTTGTCTTGTGTCATGGATTATAAACCGTTAGAAGTCAAGCGTTCTCCTGGCCATTTTCACCCTTCTCAGTAAAAGAATATGCAAATTTCTCCGTAACATGAAAGCACATATGCATGAAATTCATAATTATAAAATAAGTAATCAGCAGACTTGCATTTTGTGTAATTATTGTATATTAATTAAAAGTTATCTTAGTTTATAGGCACTAAAGCTCCATGCATTTGTTTTGGGTTCAGAAGTTAAGTTACTGAGTGTAGCTATGGCAACCCTTGGCTTGCAGCTTTGTTTTTACTAAACTCAGATTAGAAAGAGAGTTTAACGCTCCAGTTTTAATAGTATTGCTGCCAATATCATAAGAAGAGTAATTTCATCACAAAGAAAGAACAAAACATTCTGAAACAGTCACTGTTGACCTGGAGTTGGGAAAGCAGACTTCCTACTGCTTCCTCTTTTCTGTGTGTTGGCAGTTCTTTCTGTAAAGGCCCAAAAGAGCAGGTTCTCCAAGCTTTCTGAGCCCCTGATAACTGTACAAGCCTTGGCTCTGTTGTAGTCTGAAAATAGCCACAGACAGTGTATGAATGATGGCCTGTGGCTGACCAATAAAACCACATTGACAGAAGTAGGCGGTGGGTCTGGTTAGTGGTCTGTGGTCGGCCAACCGCTGGTCTTCTGTCTATAGCATATCTGCCACTGACCACACAGAAAACAATTTTCTAATTACTTTGGGCCCTATCCACAAAATTTCAGAATAAGAGACATGCTTGAAATCGTTCATCATTTCCGAAGTCTTTCTCTGAAACATACATGTTGGGGTATACACACAATCCTGAGAACCACGTGCTGCTCTCCAAGTATCTAAGAATCTCTATACATGTCATTCTTTCTCAGGCCTGAGCCCTTAGACAGCCACATGGCTCTAAGCATTTCACTCTTACCTCTCTTACCATGATCAACATTTGGTACCCATGAGAAATTTACATTTCAAGAGGGGAAAGCAGTTAGCTAAAGCAACAGACACTAAATCGTAAGTGATAGATGGGTTAAATTTTAAAAGTTTTCCTTGTTAAATTTATTATAGGTTGGAAACAATATGTGGGATAAGGTTACCTTACACATGAAATGCCTTTGACTACCAAGGAATCATGCCTAAGATAGCAGATCAAATGCAGTTTATTACTATGGTTTAAAATTTTTTATGTGGTTTCTTAAGTGTTTTTACACCTAGTAGACTTCTAGTTATGTCTAGCCCAAGCAATCTGGGAAATTCAAGTAGCCAGAATATTTCTCTTTCTATCTCTGTGTGTTAAACCAGAGGAGGGGTGAGAATATTGTTAATTACTAAGATACTAGAAAGTACAGTATTCCAGGGAATGCCTCAATGGCATGTCCAGCATATTCTTATACTACATAAAAGTAATAAAATATGGGGCTGGAGTAATTAAGAGTATTAACTCCCCCTCTAGAGAGTCCAGTTTTGACTCATGATCACATGTAACTCAAGCTCCAGGGGATCTAATGCCCTTTTCTGGCTTCTGATGGCGTTGGAAATGCATGTGGCACACACACATTCAGGTAAATCACACACACACACACACATGTTATTATCATAGCTTGTTCAAGATTTTCCATGAATCCTTATAATAACCTTACATTTTCAGTTGATTTTTATAAATTGAAACATTGAATCAATAATCCAATTTCAGCAAGCATTAGTTCACAGGAGAGACAAATTTTCTTTATCACCACGAATCCATTTCTGTCATTAGTAAGGAAAAGCGGCTTGCTATCACTAGCCACACCGCAAGACTGATTGCTTCTCTGATGGGATTGGAATTTAGCTCTTTTTCAGCTCGAGTGATGCTGTATACATGCTTTTCTTGGATAGACCCATTCCTGTTTTAATGTTGAAACCAACCTTTTTTATTTCTGAGTTGCAAAGCTCAAAGTTCGAATTCCTCATTTTGAATAAACAGTGAGTTTAGATGCTTGACTTAAAAACCATCAATGTGAACCATAATTCTCCGTAACTGTAATAGAAACTCTTAAAAGTCTTAGTTTTCTTTGTGCACTGATACCTTTCCAATTTGCTTTCAGGGTGAAAAGGGTTCTGAAGGACCAATTGGCCCACAAGGATTGCAAGGCCTGTCAATCAAAGGAGATAAGGTATTGCATAGAAAGTATATGGTGGAAGCCATTATAGTGTAAAATTATTTTTGACATTGCTCTTTATTCGTATGCAGTTTGAGTTGCATATAATAAGACAACCATCCCACACAGGTATCTAGGTAATTATAAACTAGCAAGTGTTAGGTATTTTACTATACGAAATAAATTATAATGTGAAAATTCACATTATCTATATTTCAAATAATTCCTCACTTATTTGAGTACTAAATTTCAATGCATTCTGTCATCTACAATACATCTTTGAAACCAGATATTAGCAAAAGTTACTTCTCGGTAAAGAAAAGTATATGATGGAGGGAGGAAGAGGAAGGAGAAATGGTACAATTATATTATGACCTCAAAAATTAAAAAAAAACATACTGACTGTAATATGTTACATGAATATGTATCTATGCATCTATGTACCTATCTTTACATCCTTGGGCTCTCACTAAAAGAATATTACCTTAAAATGAAGCTAGAGTAAAGGAACTTGTTTAAGAAAACTGTCTTTTCTGTCCTTCAGCAGGGACTCTCAGAGTCTGCCTAATGTTAGGCAAAGGTCATGGGCTCCTTGCAGTGAGGGAGACCCATGCTGGTGGAAGCCAGTTCCAACTCAGGATAAAGATGCAAACTGAGATTTCTGTGGAATTTGAGTTTGTGTTGGCTAGTTTGAGGCACAGTCACAAAAGCACAGACTGCCATCGGATCGAATGCTCTCAGGGAGTGGAGATAATTTTATGATTGAGTTTTTAAATTAATTTCCTCTAGCAGTTATGGGAAAATAGTTGTGGATGAGCTGCGACCAGTTAAATTTTTATTAAAAAAAAAAAGAAGCACTCAACTTTAGACAATGTATTGGATGTCTGAATGTTTCTTGAGATTGGAACATTTTTTATTATTAATTTACCTGTGTTTGGACATGATGACAAAGTACTCTTGCTTCTCTATGCTCCCTTACATTGCCTGGGGTCTGTGGTCTCACTGCCAGGTCCTAGCTGGCAGAAGCTGCCTTACTCCTACCAAGTTTTTTGTTTGCTTTAAAGGGCTCTGTGATTAGGAGTAGAAGCTGGGGATGGAAGCTACTAGAAGTTGATCAGACCCTAAGAGCAGTGGGGGGTGAAAGTTCCCAGAGGGAGGAGAGTTAAGATATATGTCACATGTGTGTATGTGTACACAGACACCATACAAACACATGCATAATTAAAAGGTCATGAACTTCAGAGGAAGTAGAGGGCACAAGAGCCGTTGGGGGAGAGAGGGTGGGACAGAAACATTTATGTGCGAACTTGCAGGAATAATAATATAGATGTAGAAGAGATGCATGCAAAAGCTAGAGACCCCATGTCAATCACGAGTCATCTGTCAGCCTCTAAGCATATCACCATATTATTTATATTAGAATAACAACTGAAGACTGTTTCAAGTGTCTAGTTTCAGTCAGCAGTGATATATTCTCTTCTGACTGTATTTAGTTAGCAAAAATGTCGGTAAACAGTGAATCATGCAAATTTTAGATCTAATACAAGTCTTGGTTCAAATAGGGCAGTTCCAAGGGTAACTGCAACTGTGAAATGCAAAATGCTTCGTTCTTCCTTTGGAGCTGCAAGAGCATGGTGGGTGCTGTGAGCCTTAGCCTTGCAAGGGTTCCTGCGACAGGCATTTGTGCTTGCACATCTGCAGTCTGGGCAAAGAAAACTTTAAAACACCTGGACACTTTCACATAGAAAAGCTTTTGTTTGCTACTCCCTTACAAAAACCACCTTTGTCCACTCTCTCCTCACTGATTTTTTTTCCTTTTTCTATTATTTTAAGTAAAACTCAAAGTTCAGAAACTTTGCTGTGTGATTCAAATGACAATGTAGTACTATCTTAAGACTCACAAATATATAATCAGTAAATAAAATAATGAAGTACTGTTGGGGTCCGAGACCAGCCTGGACCATAAATTATTTCTCAAATCGGAGTGGAGAGGTGTGGGATTAAAGACACAACTCACACGACTTTTATTGGGAGGGAGTTTTGAGGGATCCCTGATGAAGTTCTGAATTCACATCCTGAAAACCACCCACGTTTATTCTCCAAACAGCTTTTATACCAAAACATAAACTGAGGGGGAAATTTAGTAGCATTCTGTTTCCTAGGTAGCGGGGAGACTGACTGTGGTCATGTCCATACCTTTCTATGCCCATTTTGTCAGTCTTCATATCTATCTTCCTGCTCTGGATTCCTGCTCTGTCACATAGACTGAATTAACACCTCTTTCCCAGGTGATCTCCCAAATTACAAAGAAGGAGCTGGAGAGATGGCTCAGTGGTTAAGAGCATTGACTGCTCTTCCAAAGGTGCTGAGTTCAATTCCCAGCAACCACATGGTGGCTCACAACCATCTGTAATGAAGTCTGGTACCCTCTTCTGGCCTTCAGGCATACACGCAGAAAGAATATTGTATACAAAATAAATAAATAAGTAAATAAATAAACAAATATTTAAAAAAAAACAAAGCAGAGCGACATTAGCATATCCTGACCCTTTATTTAGGATGGCGTCAGTTTGTCTGGAAAGGCTACCTAGCCTTCTGTGTGGCAGGTGTAAACTGTGGCCTGAAATTCTGGCCACCATACAATGTAGAAATATGGGCCTGTATAATATGGCCCTACAAAGTACTTAGAGCACAGATATTTATTTATTTTCTTTAATAAAATGATTAATTTTTACATAGTACTGTGTAATATAAAGACATTTTTATATGAGCATATATTATAACTTTGGCATCTTCCCCTTCCCATGATCCTCCCTTTTCCAGCCCAGGAGTCCCACAGACAGTTGTGCTTCTACTTTAAAGTCATATGTGCATACAGGATTTTATGTAACACATAAAATTGAGGAACGTGAACAAGAGAAAGCATATGTCTTTTGAAGACTATCGTAATTCTCTTTGTATCATTCTCTCCAGTTGTACCCATTTAAAAACACTTATTTGCTTATTAATGACTTCATGTAGTGATCAAAGGTTTCCTTTGTGCAGTAGGGTTTTTCTTTCCACCTGTACATTTGTCCTAGGGGTCAAACGCAGATCGCCCGGCTTGTGTGCCAAGCACTTTTAGCCACTGAGCCATCTTGCTGGCCTAGTTGTCTCCATTTTGAAAAAGCTGGGGGCTGGAGAGATGACTCAGCTGTTAAATGGTAGCTCACAATTATATCACAAATGAAATAACTTCATTCCTTATGGCTGAAAGAGTTCAACTGTGTGACATCACATTTTTTACCCATTTCTACATTGTTAAACATTTAAATTGGTTATTACGTTAGCTCTTATGAGTAGTTCTAGGACAAACACTGAGGACAGCATAGACATTTAATTGCGATCTCTGCATGAAGGGGGTCCTCACTTCCTTTACTGATTCATTGCAAATTACTGGTTTTGAGCTGGATTCTGGAATCAGCAGACTTGAAACTAACTGCTCTCATCTTGTCCTTCTTGAAGGTCATCAGGGAAGTGGAGACACAGAAAGTAGTTTTAAAGATGATTAAAGTAGACAAGGCATGACACCCACTGAGTACAGGGCCGCTGGGGATGAAGGGATCAAGTTCTGAATTAGAACATTCTATCTCTGAATTAAAAACTAAACACATTTTTATTCTAGGGTGTGTCTTGACACAAGTTAAACATGCTTTAATTTATATACAATCTGATCCACTTATGGGATTTTGTTCATTAATAACTATTTAGCCCAAGTTGCCTGCTGGTCTTTTTGAACCAATTGTTGTCACTGGCACACAGGCGACCTGGTCATTTACATTTCCTGTGTGGCTGTTTACGCGCTACTAAAGCAGCAACCTTCGGTTACAAAGCAGACCTTCTGTTGGCTGTCAAGCCAAAAAGGTTCATTATCCAACCTTTCAAAACGAGGTTTGCTAACTGGGCCTGGAGGTACAGGATTGTAATTCTAGCCGCTCTGGAGGCTTAGGGAGAGGGAATAACAGATTCAAGACTGGACCACAGAGTAAGTTCAAGGTTAACAAAAACAACATTGAGAGCTCGTACATCAAAATAAAATGTAAAAAGAAGGCTAGGAATTCGTCTCAAAGGTAGAGAGCTTGCCTCACCTGAATCAGGCCTTAGTTCCAATCTCAAGGACCCTGCCCGAAAACATTGACTCTCCCTGACATATTCTAAACATAATTGGCATTAAGACAAACGAAGTGAATTTGTTCACGCCACTCAGAGGCATAGGTCTCAATAGGTGTACTTGACCTAACTATAGCTCTTATTGACCCTCCCACTTTGAGGCTGTCTCTCTTCTTGGTCTGTCTTGGTGCTCTTCTTAGACCATGTTGCTGTTCCATTTTTTCTGACCTCTAAAAACTGGAGTTCTGCCGGGCGATGGTGGTGCACGCCTTTAATCCCAGCACTCGGGAGGCAGAGGCAGGCGGATCTTTGTGAGTTCGAGACCACCCTGGTCTACAGAGCTAGTTCCAGGACAGGCTCCAAAGCCACAGAGAAACCCTGTCTCCAAAAACCAAAAAAATATAAAAAAAAAAAAATAAGAAAATAAAAACTGGAGTTCTAAAAAGACTTGTCTCTGACGGCATGGCACTAACTTTTGTCACTATTTTGAGGACCCTCTAACTGAGTCCCCTAGTCCCAATCTCTCCTACTTATGGTCTTCGCTTAGACATCAGTTTTAGGCTTTTCAAATTTAGCAAGTCTGGAACAGGGCTCCCGGTATGACTATCACTCCAGCCTAGCTTGCTTTCTCTTTCTCGGTAAGTGGTAGCTCTCTTCCTTCAAAAACCCTGGGTTTTTCCCAGTCGGCAGCAGATTCTGTTAGCTCTATTTCATAAGCAACCTAGGACCTGAGTACTCTCACATACAGCCATCTTTTGAGACATGGTGTCACTACGTAGCCCTTGACTAGCCAAGAACTTGCTATGTAGACTAGGCTGATAGCTGACTCACCAAGATCTGCCTGCCGCCGGGCGATGGTGGCGCACGCCTTTAATCCCAGCACTCGGAAGGCAGAGGCAGGCAGATCTCTGTGAGTTCGAGACCAGCCTGGTCTACAGAGCTAGTGCCAGGACAGGCTCCAAAGCCGCAGAGAAACCCTGTCTCGGAAAAAAAAAGTAAGATCTGCCTGCCTCAGCATCCTGAGTGCTAGGATTAACAGAGTGTGCCGCCATACCTGCCTTCACTGGTAACTTCTTCTTTCTTTTCTTGGAGAAGTTTTGTTTCTATCATTTTGTTTCTTTTTATTTTTTAATTTTTGACATGTTATTTGAAAAATTTAGAAATTGTTTTCAATTTATTTTTCTCACACTTTATTAATTTTATACTTTTGAATATTAGCTGTGCTCCATAAGAAAATGTTTGTGTTTTTGAAATAACTTTATATAGCTTGAGTTGTGAGAGAAATGACTGCTACATCTAAACTGATATAAATTCTAGGTTGTTCTTAAATATTCAGGAATATTTATATATACAAATACATATATATAGAGAGTAACAACAATTAGAGGTCATGAATCTGAAAAATAGCAAGGAGGGGTATATGAAGAGGTTTGCCGGGCAGAGCAGGGAGGGGTAAATGATGTAATAATGTCAAAAATTAAAATAAATAATAATGATTTCATTAACAATAGCCAATTTAGATGGAACAGTGAAGATGCCGTCATTTTGTAGTCTGAACTACAGGTTGTTGAAAGGGAGTGTAGGTTGGACTTTCCATGCTGAATGTGTTCAAAGCAAAAAGATAGATCTTAATCTAGGCCAGTTCCGGATTCGCAAAGCATAGTAAATTAGCTTTTGTCTACTCATATTTTGACAGGGGGATTTGGGACCTGTGGGTCCCCAGGGACCAATGGGTGTTCCTGGTATCGGAAGTCCAGGAGAACAGGTAAGTCATTCTTGCTTCCCCTTTTTTGGCACAGACATTTCATCCTGGTCCTTGTGTTCAGGGAGGACCAGGCCTGTGAGCATCTTTGTGCTCATTTGGCAGTAATTCCAGCAGTAATTCTGAATGTTAGTTCAGAATAATGCAAGAAAGGAGAAAATGTATCATGAGGAGATTATAATTTTAGGGCTTTCAGAAATTCAGAACATTATGTGTTTCTTAGTGCTATGTCTTCCTCTGTTAAGACCTTATTAATAGGTAAGTGTTTTGGTATAAAATTTTATATTTGTAGTCCCCCTTGGCAGAGAAGTATTTTCTCACTTACTGGGGTGTGCGTTTTCCTCTCTAAAGTTTCTGTATTCTCAGCTCTGCCAACAGAGGAGTGTTTCAAATTCTCTATATCCACCTACCTAAGTGTAGCATTGGGATTTAAGGAAGTCCTGGAATCAGGGCTGACTAGTTACCTTAAAGGCATCCTTCCCCCAAAGAAGCAACCCTTGATGGGATTTGTTTGTAAAGGATGTGGGGCCTCTGTGGTCAGAAGAGAGGAAGGATGGCTGCATGCTCAGAGCGGAACTACTCAGGGAAGCTGGAAAACTGTGTCAAATGTGTGAAGCCCAGACATCAGCACTATCTGCTATTGTACCGTCTCTGCCTTTAGCCATGTAGTCTTGTTTCATTGAAGCCACCAGCAAATACAGACGTATTGTCCTGGTTAGGGAGTGGAGAGCTCATTTGAGTAAAATTGAATTATTGTGTTTCCTGGAGAATGCATAGTCCTTCCTTGATGTCCTTTGATGGAAGATAAAGGTTTGAAAGTGAGGTAATTCCAAGTCTTGTTGACCTGAAATGTGAGTTTATTCCTAAGAACTTTCTAAAATCCTTATTATCGTGTATTTGTTATCCCAAGCAATAGTAAGATTGTCTGCTATTCCTTTTCCCACTTCCTCACCCTGGGCAGAGTTCTGAGTCTACTATGTTAGGAGGGTTACGGTGCAGAAAACATCAAGATCAATCTATAAATAAGTGTTGATAACAATCAGACCTCAGTATTCTGGCTACTGATGATCCTGGGCTGACTCTCAGGATCTACAGTTTGTCTGTTGGGTCCTGCAGGGCTACCTTCAGGTCCTGAGATCCTGGCAGCACTGTTAGATCCTGGGTTTTGTGGTTTCTTGAGGCCGAGATACTAGTCCGCGACTGACAATGGGGTTCAAAGACAGGCCAGTCTGTCCAGATGGTCTGGGGATTCTGGACCTCCCACCTGTGGCTTCCTGCCTTCCTGTTCCCTTTAATGCTGGTTCTTAATGGAGGCTGTTATGTTTTTAGTGAAAAAAGGTTTTTTTTTTTTATTTCTTTGGATTTTATATGCCCTTTCTTCATTACAAAAGAAAAACAAAAACTTAGAGGCAAGATGTCTTTACAGGGCTGACCCCATAAATGACCCTGTTGATGGGAACAGAATGAGTGGAAGTATTTGTAAACTGTGCAAAGAACTCATTTTCTCTTTTAAGAGAAATGGCACAAACGCTACTTAATCTCTGCTTATGCAGTCATTTGATTCCGTTCTTAAATTTCATCTATCACGTTCTTGTGCTCATCACTTCCTCTTGTTGATTCCTTATAGAAATATATTTCCCCATTCAAATATTTATGAGGAAAATCTGTTTCAAGCAACCTGTGGACAATGTCCTTCAAATGGTCTTCATATTTTAATTAAATATTTAGTCACTCGATCACCTCAGATGTTTTGCAGAGTGAAATGGAACAAAAGTAACCATACGTGGACATGTAACCATAAATGCACCACGTACATGCTGTGGTATGCTGTTCTTCATCTGTTAGGTGATATTTGTAGACAGCTATAAATGAGAGAAGTTCCTTCTTGGAACCACGGTCACTCCGCTAAGTCATGGGGACTTCTCAGTCTCATCAACCGGAGAAAAAGGAATGATGTTTGTATTTTATTTTAAAATGTATTTACTTTATTTTATATGTATGAGAGCTTGCCTCATACATATAATGAACATGTATGTATGTTCACTATGTGCATGCCTATTACCTGTGGAGTCCAGAAGAGGACATCAGACTCCCTAGAACTGGAGTTACTGTTGACTGCCAGCTGCCATGTGGGTGCTATGAACTTAACCATTCTGTTATAGTAGTAAGGGCTCTTGGTCACTGAACCGACTCTCCAGCCCCAATATTTATATTTTCAAGATAAACCAGCAGCTGTACTGTCTAACTGGAGCAAAGGAGATGGCTTTTTGTAGTATATAAGGATAAATTAATAATGTGTCTTATAAATATTATTTCTACTGTTGCAGTTTATGGCATGCAGACAAGCATAATTTTAATGTTTTATCTTGATAGCCTTTAATTGTCTTTTTCCGGTGGGGGCCACATCTTCTCTTTCCTGACACAGAATAAAATTCCCAACGGAGCACAGACTTTGGATCTCTTTTAGACATCTGAAGCTGTAGGGCACAGGAGTTGTCTTAGACCACAGGGAAACACAAATATTTACATTATGAGTCATAATAGTAGCAAAATTACAGTTATAAGCAATGAAAATAATTGTATGTCTGGGGGTTACCACAACATGAGTAAGCTTATTAAAACATTGGGAAGGTTGGGAACCACTGGGCTTAGGATGAATGAGAACTCACATAAATCACTCTATCCTCATCCTAATAGTCAGAACCTAGTCCACATACGTACACCCAACTCTACTAGGAAGCAGGAGTTGTTGTTTTTGTTTTTTTGAGACAAGATCTTTCTAGATAGCATTAGCTGGTCTGTAACTCATTATATAGACCAGGTTGCCTCCCAAGTGCTGGGATTAAAGTTGTCCACTGGAAGCATGAGATCTATTCCAGGTATTCTCGTGGACCAACTGACATTTCTCTTCCTATCCTAGAAGGAAAGGCTATGCATTGGGCTTTAAACAGTGGTGATTGCTGGGACGATTCCCGTGGTCCCGTCAGTAGTTGGGGTGGTGTCAGCAGTTTGTAACACAGAGCTATACCTTCACTTCAGAAGACACAGGCGTTCCCCAAACATCTTAATTTCACTAACATTTAAAACTTTTATTCTAAAGGGGATTCAAGGTCCAATTGGTCCACCTGGTCCACAAGGACCCCCGGGACAAGGCTCACCTGGTTCCAAGGTAACTTTCTGAATGACAGAAAAATGCAATGCATTTATAGTATTATTGTTGTTTATGATTGATGTTCAATGACTTTGCAAGAGAACAGATGGAATTAACTTAAAAAACCGGAACATTCTATGCTAAGTGATGCTGATATTATTAATGGCTTAGAAGGCATAATACGTATTCTTTTTGCTTTAAAATGCTTTTACTTGTATAACCTTTATTTATATCCTGTCTTATTTTTAATTATTGAGACCCTATTCTAAAAGTGCAAGTAGGCATCAATACGGCGACCCTCTCTGGGTTGGTGAGCTTGCATTCTCACCAGCATTTCCACAGTGGGTTCAACTTCCAACACCTAAAAAGATGGAGACAGAAATGATGTAAATAGTCAAAGTTTTCCTTGAATTTTGGAATCAGATTACCATTTAATTTGGAATTCTTCCTCATTGCTTGGGAAGAGGCAGTTATTACAATTAGTCACCTTCCATATTGCTTCAAGGATCACTGTTTGTTGTTCTAAATAAATCAATGATACCTCTCAGAAAAGCTTGCTCACCTTGGAGCACACATATGAGACAAAAACCATCATTTATACCCTTCAGATTATTGATTTATGTGTTGGCTTATTCATTCATTCATTCATTCGTGTTTTGGAGTATGGGGAAGACAAGATCTTTCTGTATAGACCAGTTGAGATTACAGGTGTGTGCTCCTGTGGGCCCTTGTTTTATTTGGGATGCATTGAGAGTTTGGGTTATTCTCTGGTTTTGTTGTTGCTCTTGGTTAGAGATCAGTAGGGTTTTCAGTGTATGTTTAACTGTTATGTACTGTAACTATCTTTTCAAGGTGTCCCTACAGGTGTATAACACATGGTTTATAGTTTAAGTCAAACTTATAATAAAAATCCATGTAACTGAAGGGACTTCATATGTAACTACATTGTGTGTGTGTGTGTGTGTGTGTGTGTGTGGTGTCAATTATGAATTAGGTACATAAAATTGTCTCACCTTGTTGATATCTATTTTGAGATGTCAATGTCAGGAATGTATTACTTTCATTGTGCATAATATTTAAATATCTTTCCTTCCCAGGGAGAAATAGGCCAGATGGGACCCACAGGCCCTAGAGGACCAATGGGAGTTGGAGTACAGGGTCCAAAGGTGAGTTGAGTTGAGTGTTGCTAAATGCAATAGGCAATTTACAAAACACATTGTAAGGTTTCCTTCACATCCAAATGCATGGAAAAGCATGCATATATATGCTTAGCTTGTTTCTGTTAACTTTAAAATGTGGCTAAGAGGAAAAGTATAATTATTTCTTAGTTTTCTTTTGGACAGGATCATTGTAAAACTCATATTTCCCTTGGGGTTGGGACCTTGTTTATCTCGTTTGTTATTGGATTCCAGTTTTGACAACATGGTGGGCTTTTAAATACTGCTGAGGGATGAATTACTACTTTATATAACCTTCACAGGTTCTGTTAGATACTGCTGAGGGGATGGAGTCCTACTTTATATAACCTTCACAGGTTCTGTTGCCCATCCTGAGGGTGTGTAGGCCCCAGTAAGCCACCCTGCATTTTGAACCTCACCATTATTTGGCTGTCACTGCCAAGATTCTTAACAACACTTGGGTACTAGAAGAATAGTCAGACGTAGGCTTAACAAGAATGTACATACATCACAAAAGACAATAGGACATTAATGAAGCAGCAAAACTATCATTCTTACATGGCTTTGATGTAATATGTACTATGCTAAGTGCTAAATATGTATGTACACATGTAGATATACCGTATTCAAGTGTGCTCATGTAAAGTACAGTTTACATGTCAGTTTAGAAAGACAATCCACAACTTGTCAAAGATCATCAGTTAGACTATGGAGGTTTAAATCCCAGTCTTTCCAGTCAATCTAAAGTTTCTCTAGCTTAAAAACAAAATACCTTGCGGCCTGACAGCATCTCCTTTCATGTTTCCTCCCCCTCGTCTTCGTGGTATTGTAGGTGCTTCTTCTCTTGTCTTACTTTTGCCCATGCTCCCGCCGTGAACATGTCCCATTTCCTTTTGTACACGACAGACTACAAGTTTCCTCGACCTGTAGAGTAGAGGCAGCACCCTGAGGCCACAGAGCACACATTCTTCTGGGTGCTGCCAGAGTCCCGGATCACGTGGACTGCCGCTCCACTTCTTCCCCACAGTATACCCTCTTCCTAACTGGAAAATAGGAAATACAAAACCACACTTCGTCCTTTTCATTTTCTCCTCTGGAAATTAAATAAACAGCTTTTCCACGTGCTCAGGGGACCTTCATCTTTTCTGCTTCTTTGCGGCTTTTGTTTCTCTTGATTCCTAAAGATGCTCAGTACTTTATGCTAGGTTCCTATTGTTAGAGGCCTTTATACATCTGGATGGTAAGCTTTTGGTGCCTGGGTTGCTAATTATCTTCTAGGTTGTAACCGGTGTTTGTCCTTTTAGTGTGTAGTTTGACAGTTTGATGTGTTTCTCTCTTTTATGTCTTGTACTTTTAACATGTTATTTTAAAACATCTTAAAGTCGTGAAAATATTCTAATGTCATTTTCTGAGAATTTTATGCTTTGTTTTTTAAAGTTATCTTTTTTTTTATCTATATGGGCTTTAGCTTTGTGTGGGGTGTCAGTATGAGGAATCAAGCCTCCCATATTGTTAATGTGTGTTCAGTTGTTGAGAATCCGTTTTGCCACGCTGTTTGCAAAGCCATCTATGCCTTGTATCCGTTCGCATGTACTTGTCTGTAGGAATTAGCACCTAGATCTCTGTTCTGCCCCTGCAGCTATGTGGATTTCTCTGCACTATCACCTTCCTGTCCTGATTCTTTAAGCTGCAAGTCAGAGCCAGTTGCCCAAGGACCAACAGTTTCTGAAATGCTGGAGGCTGTTGTTTATGGGACATAACAAGTCACAGGTTTTCACTCCCTTAAACAAATTTGTTTGGCCCTGTTACACCCGATTTGGTTGATCACATGCAGGAGGGAGAGATGCAGGAAGGATGTATGTCAAGATGTGCTATTGCCCCTGATTAGATGTAGGTGGGAGGTGTGAAGGCAGGAAGCATGTCAGGATATCTTCTTGTCTCTTATTGGACCTGATGGGAAATATGGCAGCCTTGTGGGGTTACCTTTTTAAGTCTCTGCAAAATGTGACTCACTGCTGTTTTCTGGGAAACCAGGATGGATCTGGACAGAGTTCATCATCCTGGCCAATATTTAATTAAAACTGGATGCAAATTTGGCTCAAAATTGTAGTAGTGGTTTTATTCTTACCCGGTAGTATTAACACATGTGCAAAACCCTGTATTCAGTCTCCAGTACTGTGTAACTTTGTGTGGCAGTGCATGTCTGCAGTCTCAGCACGCAAGAGGTGGAGGCAAGGGGATCGACAATCAAGATCATCCGTGGGTCGTACAGCAAGTTAGAGGCCAACCTGGGATAGATGAGAACCATTCTTAAAATATCCCATCATGTGGCAAGAAAATATTCTTATTGTCTTTCTTGCTTATTATTGATTCTAACACATTTTAGAACTGCCAAATCTAATAAAACATCTCGTTGAATTCACAGATCAACTATTGAGTTTTTCCCACTACCAGAATAAGGCTTTTTCATCTTTTAGGAAATATTTTCATTTTTCTATAAAGTTCTTCTATCTCATACTTTAGATAAGGTCATTCCCAGGTTCCCCAAAGAAATTTTTTCAGCATGAGTTGTTTTCTTTCCAACAATTTCTGATTAGCTTTTAGGGCATGTTGGAGAAGTACTTGTTTTTATTTTGGCACGTTGAGTTTTAGCCAAAACCACCCTGTGAAATCACTTACTATTTCTGATTGAAGATTTTCGTACTCTTTTACACAAAATCACATTGTCTGAAAAGAAACACAATTATATGATACTTGCTGTAAATTTTTGAAGTACTCTCTTAAGTCAAAGAAACTCACTTCTATTTCAATTTGCCACTTCCCCTTATTTATTATAAATAAGTAGTGCATTTTAGGAAGTCTTATTGTACTGAAAAAGTAGTTATCCTGCTAATCTCATATATGAGTAGAGATTTTAGATGTTGAGCCATTCTTGTATTTTTTTAAGGTTAAACTCAACTGCTCATGGCATTTACTTTTTAAGGATACTTCAATTGATCAATCTTATACTGAAGATACTGTGGCCTTTTAAAATAACCATTCATAGTGTTGCTAACATACAACAAATAAACATGTTTAGTATACCATTTGGTAGATTTTGGAATATGGATAGTCTTGAAACCCCCTCACAACCAAGATAATAAAGGCATTCATTACTCAGAGTTACCACGCATCCTTTGCAAAACTGTCCTTCTGCTCCCCCTAACTTCTACACACTGATGTGTTTCCAATGACCTGCTCCACCGTTGGTTGCTTTTGAGGCAGATATTGCTTCTGCCCATGCATAAGATTTATTTTTATATGCACTTTGCAGGGTGTGTGAACAGTTGCTTCTGTTGCTGAAAAGCCTCCCATCATACAGGGTACCACAATTTACTAATCCATTTTCCTGGTGGTAGAACTGCCTGCTGTTTCCAAGCTTTTGATGTTACAAATTAGAAACATTTATGGAGATGTCTTTAGACATTCCCTTGTCTTGAGTAAACATCTAGGGATGAACTGTCTAGCTTAAACCAAATGGGTACTTTTTGCCTCTTTTTCTGTTTTTGTTTTGTTTGGAAAGTTTTGTAAAATAGAGAGCATGTTCTTCAAAGATTCGGAAGTGTAGTGTGGCTTGGCTGGAGGGCCAACAAGGAAGCGAAGAATCCAGGGCAGTGGTTCTCAACCCCGAATGCTGTGATTCTTTAATACAGTTGTTGTGACCCCCACCATAAATTTTTTGTTATTACTTCATAACTGTAATTTTTATGTTGTTATTAATCATAATGTAAACATCTGAGATGCAGAATATCTGATATTCAACCCCTGTGTGGTGTCATGACCCACAAGTTGAGACCCACTGATCTAAAGACTTTAAATTACTAGATCCATTTGCTAACAACATTGTTTTACCAAACTTGACTTTTTAATAACATTTTGAAACATTATGCATTCGTTAATGTTTTTCTTTTTCTGAAAAAAGTTTTTAATATGTGCTTGAGTGTGTGTATGTGTGTGTGCGTGTGTGTGTGTGTGCATGCGTGCTTATGTACCATGTGCACACAGGAGCCTACGGAAGTCAGAAGAGATAGATGCCAGATATCCAGGCACTGGAAGTTAGACCTCTGTGAGTCACTGTGTGGGTACTGGGAACCAAACTCAGGCTCTCTGCAAGAGCAATGAGTCTGCTTTACTTCCAACCCAACAGTCCAACCATCGTTTAGCATTTTGCAAGGCACTGGCTTGAAGTTTTCACTGGACTTCTAAATGTTCTTTACAAGACTGTACTGTGTGCACGCTCAAGTTAGCTTTCTCTTCTAGTACTTTTAACATCTGCATCTCTCCTCCTGCTCATCCGTTACTAGTTTTAGAATCATCACCTTTTAATTCTATGGACGAGCTTCCTTTGTTTTCAAGTTTACTCTGTTCCTCATTTTTATCATTCATTTCTAGTCAAATTAGGTTTACTGTGGTTTTCCGCCTCACTAGCTTTTTCAGGTTAGTTGACTTTAAATTAGTTCAACATATTTTGCAGTGAGAACACTTCTATACCAGTTGAAAGCAGTATTTATGTTTTAGTGAACGATTTAAAGGAGTTGTTGCTAATCACGAATCACCTGGAAAGAAGAGCCGCACTTCCCCGGTCCCTTTTGCAGTGGTTATAGAGAGCTAGCATGCCAATGCCACCGCTGAGCACCCTGGGAAACCAGAAATCATCTGTAGCCATGCTTTCAACAACCCTAGGGGAAGATCCTTCCTGGCCTCTTGCCAACTTTCACTATGGTTGTCAATCTTCAGCATTCCTTGGCCTGTGGCTGCACTCTTTGCTCCTGCTGTCCCAGAGTTCTCCGTTGTTTACACAGTACAGTATCCTCCTTTTTATTTTATTTTTTATCGTGACTCCAGTCACCTTAATAATCTCATCTTGACTTGATTATATCTAGAAAGACCCTATTTCCGACTAAACTCACTCTTTGGGGATGTCACAATTCAACCCATGGCAAAATAAGGAAAGGAAAGAGATTAGGTAACTTGCCCAAAGTTGTGAAGTTTAGTTGCTAATCCCATTTCTTCTCTCAGAGGTTTTCTCAGTATTGTAAGATAAATCCAAAGACCTCACAATGGAGGTTCACAGTAAGGACATCTCACTGAAATATCTGTTTATCCACCAGGGGGAGCCGGGTGCGGTGGGGCTCCCGGGACAACCTGGGGTCCCAGGAGAAGACGGAGCCTCTGGAAAGAAGGTAATGTTATTGTCTTCATATTATCAGAGTGTCAAAACCGTGGCACCAAAGAAACATCTCCGTCCTCTGGGACCTAGGCTCAATCTACCCAGGGCAGACTTTATCTGTGAGAACGAACCTTCTCCTTTACCCCAGAAAGAACCCGGTTCCGTGGTTACCTTGGTGCCAGACGCGCTCTTAGCTTTGGCTGGTGTTTTGGCCTTGACACCTTCTTCTTTCTCTAAGAGTTCTAGAAATCACAACAATTTAATCTCAAACAAAAACATTTTTCTCCCCGCAAAAGAGAGAGTCTGTAGATGCATCTAGGAAATTAGTCTGTTGCAAGGGCACTGAACTATTTTCTGCTGACATTTGAAGTACTCTGTTTTCAGTAAAACTACTGAAAAATAGCAGATGGTGAGGTGGAAGGTCTTTCTTGTTGAAAAAAATAAAAGAAAAAAAAACATACTTAATGTGAAACTGAGCTTAGGGCTTTGGAAACTGGGAGACAGGAGTTCTTTGTGGTATTTCAGCTGCTCTGGTTAAAAGGAAGTTTAATGCTAATTTACTGATTTGATAAGCATTTTTAGTTTTGAGATGATAATAAAGGTCTGGCATGTTTGGGGGGTGGGTTCTATATTCTGTCCTCCGAGAACCAGCTGAGACATTTGTGTCCTTTCTTTCAGGGAGAAGCTGGACTTCCAGGAACAAGGGGCCCAGAAGGAATGCCTGGGAAAGGACAGCCAGGCCCCAAGGTATGCAGATGACAGTTCCACAGGAGGCAGCTGTCTGTGTTTGGTCCCCATCTAAATAGTCAGTTTAGGAGAGAAATGACTTTCATTCTGGCTATGTCAAACAGGTTTACATCTTGCTTAAAATTATAGATACTGTCTTGTGAACTTTTGGAAGAAGGCAAAGGTATATTATCTATCTCTATTTCCCACATCCATCCTAAGACCTAGCATAGAAAAGAACTCAACACCTGTTTTCTCAGCAAGTGGTCAACTGATATTTAAAGAAAGCATGGGAAGGAAAAGACTTCTCAAGATATGTTATTAGAGTCTGAAAGTACCTAAAGTTTATTCAAATATTTATAGACTTTTATATAATAGCAAGGATGGGGTTTGTAGCTTGGTGAGAGAATGCACTTAGCATAGGCAAGGCCATGGGTTAGGTTCCTAGTCTAAAGCATGAATAAACAACATGGCACTCTTGTTATTCCCTCTAGAAATGCCACTTGAATAACCTGATTTTGTTGCTGTTCTTGTTGTCTGTTTGTTTGGTTTGGTTTGGAGACAGGGTTTCTCTGTGTGAGCTGTTCTAGAGCTCTGTAGGTCAGGCTGGCCAGAAACTCAGAGATTTGCCTGCCTCTGCCTCCCAAGTGCTGGGACTAAAAGCATGTGCCACCATTGCCCAACATCTTTGTATGTCAAAATGAGAAGATATAAATTCACTCACAGGATTAGATTTTTAGCAGCATAACATACCATCTCTAAGGGGCCAGAATTCCTACAGCTTGTATGCAGAGTTTTCAGTCACAATGCATACATATTAGTATTTTATTTATAATTCTATTAAAATACTGATATACTGATTAATCCGCCTTGTCAAAGTATCAACTAAAGTCAAACCCTTAGTCTTAAAGGCTAGAAACTGAAATTTAAATATATCTGTACAATTTCAACCACTTGAACCCATCAACTTTTTCTTCAAACAAGGAGACAAAAACACTTTTTAAAACATAGCATAAAATATATGTTTAGAAATTCCGGTCTATCCACAATCAGAAGTGAGGCCTTGCAGAAGGGTGGTGTCTCTGAGAAAGACCTGAAGTTTAGGTGATGAGGTGGCTGGAGAAATCCCCAGAACAGCAGGAGCACATGAGTACTGAGTGTGGGAAACCTGAGAGAATGGACGTTGATGCAGGGGACAAAGGTACCGGAATGCACCCATCACCAACGAGGATGCAGCACAAATAACATACCATGCAGCCAGGCCACCCCGGGCAGCACTGCTGCTTCATGACAAGTGCCTGTGCACTTGTGTTCTGAGGTGACTAGGTCTGGAGGTTGAAATCAATGGAGGATGAAAGAAGCTAAATAACTGTGGTCCTGCTCTTCTCTCCATGGTGGAGCAGGTGCTGTCTGGATGCGTTTATCAGCTGTGTCCCTGCCCTTAGTTAGTGTATGCTCTGCAGACTTAGTTGCGTCCTATGGATCCAGTTGGAGGCTCTTCTTGTTTCAGCAGAGCGTCCTTTTGTTGATGTGTTAGTACCTGAGTCATTGGTTTTCAATGTGTACTCCCTGGATCAGCCGGGTCTGCACTACCCAGGGAATATTTGATATGCAAATTATTGGGCCATTGTGGAAACCAGCGAAATCAGAAACTCTCTGGATATGGGATCTAGAAATCTGTGCTCTCTCAAGCCCTCCAGATGATGGTGATCCTTGTTTGAAAACTGTGGATCCACCAGGCGTACCAGCAATGTGCTCCACTGGGTGTACCAGCAATGTGCCAGTGACCTCAGCCACAAACCCAAGGAGAAAGTCCTTCACTAACCTGAACCCACCTCTGGATGTAATGCCCCGCTTTGAGAGAGCTTTTGTGGAATGTAGCAGAATGCTTTATGGTTGTGGGAACACTGCTAGGTTCAGCCATGCTGAGGAGCCACGGGAGGCAGTTTCCAGCTCTGCTCCAGGGTACTGCTTAACTATCCTTTTACCAATAAAATTATTGGCCTTCTTATGTAGAATGAACTAGTCTCCCCAGTGGGGAAGAATGGGGCCTTGATTTGAAGAATGTCTCTTTTAATGTTTTTAGATTGAAATACCATGGAAATTGAGACACGGGATAAAAACCATCTCTTTTCTGAAATATCGGGTGTATTAGGACCATCTGTGCACAAACTCATGGTACAGAAGACTCAGGAATTCAAGCAAAAGTACTCTACCATTCAGAGCTTAAAAACATCAAATCCTTTCGAGTGAATGACAAAGCCTGGGCAGGTTTCTGAGGAGCGTTGGCAAACCTTGGGTGGCCGTGCCGTGCCTAGCAGGCTCGCCTGAAAGCCGCTGTTTGCTGAGAGCCTGGCTCTGATGTGATGCTGTGAGACCGTGTGCTAATACAGCCGCTATATCTTTGTAATTATTCCATCAGGGCGATGAAGGAAAGAAAGGGAGCAAAGGAAATCAAGGACAGAGGGGGTTTCCAGGACCCGAGGGGCCAAAGGTATGTTTCTTATATTCTCAGCTGTGCTTTGAGGAGATGGCAACTGTGTCTGGTTTTAATAGAATATTAAATTTCCACTTCAAATTTGATTACTTGTTTCCTTCCCAACAAATACATGACAAAAACCCCCCAGAGGAAAATGTCTTTGGAAAACGTTCTTTTTCCAGACCCTAATAGGATGGAGTGAAGAGCTCTCGCAGAGTTTATAACCATTTGCGTTAGATTCTGGGAGACTCTAGCGCCAGTCATCTCTAGTAAGTACGTAAAGGTGGGGCCATAGCACACCCTGTGCCCCAGCATCTTCTTTAGCTAAGCAACAGTGAGCCCAGCCCTCGCTGACAGGTAGCCTCCATGATGCTGAAGAGGACTCTGAAGGCCTGTCCCATTGTGCTCTGCTTTGAATCATCCGAGCCAATCGCTCATACAGGAGAACGTGGTCTAGTTCCCAGAGCAATCATGACAATACAGAGTTTAACAGACAGTACTTAAAACCATCTCTGACACTCAGTAAATGTGTGCAGGCAAACATGGTGCTGGAGCAGGAGCCGAGAATCCTACATCTTGACCTGTAGGCAATGGGAAGAGGTCAGAGACACTGGGCATGGCTTAAACGGGACCTCAAAGCCCACCCCCACAGTGACACACTTCTTCAAACAAGTCCATACCTACTTTAATGAAGTCACACCGTTAACAGAGCCACTCCCTATGAACTTATGGGGCCAAGTACATTCAAATTACCACACAGGTTATCAGAAAAGAGCTGAGAAAGTTTAACGACTAGGTAATGAGAAAATGCGTTTCTTTTTGAGTTTTTAAATTAGATTTATTAACTTTATTTTAGGTGTGTGCTTTTTGCCTGCATGTATGCATGTTTACCATGTACAGGACTGTTGCCCTTGGAGGCCAGATAAGGGCCTGGCGTTAGTGATGGTTGTGAACCATCAGGTGAATGCTGGAAATAGAAGCCAGGCCTCCCACAAGAGCTGCAAATGCAGCTCCATCTTTCCAACCCCTCAAGAGAAACTTTTGAAAACTGGTGTTGACACAACAAGGGAGCTACAAAACAGGATCGCCTGTAGAGCCGTGATTGGTCATAGCCTTAGGGCAGGGGTCCTCAGCCTGCGGCTCACAACCCTTTTGGGGTTGCGTATGTTATATACTGTATATCAGATACTTACATTACCATTCTTAACAGTAGCAAAATTACAGTTATGAAGTGGCAATAAAATAATTTGGTGGCTGGGGTCACCATAGCACGAGGAACTGTGTTAACTGTGTTAGTGCAGGTTAGTGCCTTTCAGTGTTGTGGGGAAATTGTTAGAAATCCAAGTTTCTTGAACTTGCTCCCAGAGTCTCCGAGATTCGATCTTAGAAAAATTTTTGGGGATGGACCCAGGGATCCATGTTTCTTCAAGGGCCACGGGTAGTTTGAGAAACAAAAGGACTTGTCATTGCTTTTTATATTGTAGCTAATTTTATTCAAAGTAAGCTTGGTGTTTTAACAGAGTATGTTTTTTAAAGATGAAGAAAATTAATGTTTCTTCTATCTTTATCTCTAAAGCCAGAGCCATGTGGCCAAATCTGCCAAGTTTTGCTGTGGCTGAAACATGGTCTCCTCATTCCATCTTCACCGGCTTTCTGTCCTTCACTGCCCAAGCTTGGCTGTCCTTAAACTCGCATTGTAGACCAGGCAGGCCTCAAACTCAGAGATCTGCCAGCCTCTGCCTTCCCAGTGCTGTGATTAAAGGTGTGCCCCACTACACCAGGCTCTAAGTTTGTTTTTTTTTTTCAAATTCCTTTTTACAAATTGGAAACTTAGCTGGGTGGGATCTTGTCCTGAGGTCACCACTCCCATTATTCCCTTGCTTAAACAGCTCATCACCTTGAACGTAGGATTTAGCTACATTCCACTTTCTCCTGCCCTTTTTCTCCTTAAAATTTACATTTTGTTATTAACTCTGATCAGCTTGCTCCATGTCATTATAAGTCTTCATTAGAGTTACCACTAAGAGCCACACAACAGAGTCTATGCAAGGCTGTTTTGAGATTTCTTCTGCCAATGCAACTAACTCTTCACTTTGGCATTAGGGAGACTTTTTGGACAAGGGCAAAAAGTAGCCACTTTCTTCACCAAATCACAAGAATAATCTCTAGGCAACAAACTAAAACTCTTCTCCTCTGAAACCTCTTGGGTGAGCCCCCAACAGTTCAAATAACTCTAAGCAAAACAAAACAAACAAACAAACAAAAAACTAGTTCAAATAACTCTGTCTTCCATGATTTTATTAGTATGGCCTATTAAGTCATGTGTTTAAACATTCCACTGCTTTCATGTCCCAAAGTATCTAAGTTCAAATTTCTCCAGTCAAAAATAAGGTCAGGCCTATTACAGCAATACCCAGTCCCTAGTACTAACTTCTGTCTTAGTCAGGGTTTCTATTGCTATGAAGAGACACCATGAGCATGGCACCTCTTATAAAGAAAACATTTAATTGAGGTGGTGGCTTAGAGTTCAGAAATTCAGACCATTATCATCATGACAGGGAACATGGCAGTGTGCAGGAAGACATGCTGGCTACATTTTGTTCAGAGGGCAGGAGGAAGTGGATTGAGAGTCACCCTGAGAGAAGCTTGAGCAAAAGAGACCTCAGAGCCTCTTCCCACAATGACACATTTCCTCCAACAAGGCCACACCTACTTCAACAAGGCCACACCTCTTAATAGTGCTGCTTTCTTGGGTCCATTTTATTTCAAACCACCACAATATATAAAGTTGTGATGTTTTCTGTTTCTGTCCCAGTGAATCATTTTGAACACCTTGTCATGTGCAGTGACAGTGTTTTAGAGCAGGGGCTTTCACACCATGTTAACAGCGCTTAACAGCACTTAGGTCATAATCCTCAGAGATGCGTACGGAAATACATATTCCTGGGCCCCATCTGTTAGATGCATGGAATCTGGATTTCAGAACCTGAAACTGAACACTGCTTCTTTGCCACACTCTTTTTTTTTTTTTTTTTTGGTTTTTCGAGACAGGGTTTCTCTGTAGCTTTGGTGCCTGTCCCGGAACTAGCTCTTGTAGACCAGGCTGGCCTCGAACTCCCAGAGATCCGCCTGCCTCTGCCTCCTGAGTGCTGGCATTAAAGGCGTGTGCCACCACCGTCCGGCCTTTGCCACACTCTTATGTGTGCCTTAGTGTTTGGGAAACACTGGTCTAGATTCCGATGAGACACAGGAATTACTGTTTGTCCTCAAGTGTCTGGGACCCAATATTAGATAAAATAGAGGCAGGAGAGATAGACAGAGTGGGACTGGGAGGCAGGAGGGAGCGAGAAAGAGAAAGATGTTTCAATTTCCTATTCAACTTTTAAATAAAATACATAAAATCTGCTTCAGAAAAAGGATGTGTGCGCTGGACAATGGAACACTGCTACAACACGGGCTATGAGAATAAAAGCAATAAAGAAGGTTTATACATTAGCCAAATGCTGTAAAATTTGTGCAGAAGGCTATTTCTATAATTGAATACAAGATTTTTCTGAGCCTCCTTGCATACAATATAAAACACAGACACCACGAATTGTTCTATCTTTATTGGCCAGTAAAAAGCTACCCAAAAGATAAAAAATTCCTGCTATTCAGAAATTAATTGGATGCATTTATTTAAAGGCACCAAGAACTTAGAGGGTAATAACTCCATCAGTGGTTGCAAAGGATGTTTCGGTCATTTTCATATTCACACTTCCAGAGACAGGGGTTTGAATGTTCTGAAATGTGCAGACATTTGTTTGCTTTGCTTACTAGAATTACTGCATATGGTTTCTTTGCTTGAAATGTAACAGCTATTCTGGTTTTCTCAGGGAGAACCGGGCATTATGGGCCCGTTTGGAATGCCCGGAATATCCGTTCCTGGACCAGCTGGGCCTAAGGTATACGTTCTTGGGACTCTCTAAAGTTGAAGGGGGAAACACATATATGTTTTTATGCCAGTGATGATGGTTCTAGTGAGCTAGAAGCTTAATTTGGGAGGATTTCCCACGTGTGATGAATAGTCACAGATAAACAGACTAAAAGCCAGACTCCTCATCCGACACCAAGCTTGCTGTGTTTTCTGCTCCCTCTCTCAGCTGCTAGGCCTCAGCACACATAACAACGTCATCGCGTTTCCAGGAGAATCTACTAAAATCTCCAATTGGAAAGATGCTCTCAGTTTTAAGAGAATTGGTCGGCATTCTTACATCCATATGTCTGAGTCTAATTGTCAGGTGTTATTTTAGTAGATTGTCCCAGACACCTGTAGAAATCTTGCTGACAGGCTTAGCAACTCTTCATTTGAGTTTCTCAGATTTGCCCAGAGGAAAAGACGGAGAGAGGAAGCTCCTTCCACACGGGCAGTCTATTTTCACTGTGCACTTCTGTAGTTCTTCATGTGACCTAGAGCCTTGCCAATGTCATTTGACATGAACAGGGGGATCGAGGAGGACCTGGGATGCCTGGTCTTAAAGGAGAACCTGGACTTCCTGTTAGAGGACCAAAGGTACGGTTTATGTATGCCCCCTTTCTGCACGTGGGAAGGCAGACTTAGGGCGGGAACTGTAACTAGGTGGGAGAGTACTTGCTTAGCATGAAAGAGGCCCTTTGTTTGATCCCTGCACTGCAAAAGAAATGAAAGAGGAGGAGAAGGAAGAGGAGTCAAAGAAGGGGGAGGTGGAGCAGGAAAAAGGGAACTTGATCCCTAACATGTTAGCCAGCTTTCTGCCACTATGATGAATCATCAAGTTTCTTTTGGCCCATGGTTTCAGAGTTGTCAGGCTGTGGACCTCTCTCCCTTTGGCCTGAGGTCTGTACATCAAGGTGGGAACATGTGATAGAAGATTCTTGTTCACCTCTTGGCAGTCGGTGAGCTAACAGAAATAAGAAAGGACTAGAGCCCCAATACCCTCTTAAAGGAAATGCTCCCAGTGACCTAATCCCTCCAGCTGGACCTTAGGGATCTACTACTATCCAGGAGGGCCACAGGCTGGGGACCAACTTCGAACACAAAGACCTTTGGGGGATGTTCAAGATCCCACTAAAAAGATTGATCGTTTATTCGTAAAGTTTCTCTGCTGATGAAATAAATGTCAAGAGGCTATGTCCTTTGTGGGGAAGAGAAAACGAATGAAAAGAGTTTTATTTTTCACACACTTAAGGGACACTCGCTCTCATGGCAAAGTGTCGACTTGGCCGTTGTCAGAAAACACTCTTTTCCCGTCACCAGAGTCACAACTGCTCCGGTCTGCCCAAGGCCACAGGTTCCTGTCCCCTAAAGCTTTCAAGAGGAAGGTTTTCTTTATAACCTCAGCCAGGTTGTTCATCCTGCCCCCGGGACCCTGGCTGTGCAGTTGACTCAAGAAAACATGTCAAATTTCCCATGTGAAACCACAGATGTTATGTAGCACAAATTCTAGTTGGTTTAATAATGAAAACCCAAAATCAGATATAGGGGTTACTGCTGAAGATCAGAGAAGCAGAGAGGCCAGCCACTAGAAAGTTCTTTTACCTCTACCAATGCTCAGAGTGAAGGCGTGATCCTGTCCTCAGACTGCATCTCCAGACTCCATCTGTCCCCTCCAAACCCTCAGACTGTGTTGCTGCCCTGTCTCCTTCCACCTTATATTACTCTCTCCACCCAGGATTAAAGGCCTGGGATCCCAAGTGCTGGGATCACCTTTGTGTGAGCTCTGTTTCTCTTTTAGACAGATTCAACCACGAGTGGCCCAGGGTGGCCTTGAACTAACAGAGTCCTGGGATTAAAGGTGTGAGCCCCCACTCCCTGACGTCTAGAGGCTTAGCTCTGCACTCTGATCTTCAGGCAGGCTTTATTTGTTAGAACATAAACAAAATATCATTTCCACGTTGTCTTGTTTAGTTATGTATGTGGGACAGTTCCATGTTGCTTTGATTGTTCATACTCTGTGCTTTATGCTGGTTGTCCGTCCTCATGCATGCTTTTCCATGGCAATGTGCTGCTACAGTAAGCCTCATTTACTATCTGCTGTTAATTATGGGGCATTGCAAATGATGATACTTTAAGATTCTTACCCCTTCAGCCGTGGGCTCCCCTAGTGGGCTCCAGAAGCATTCTTAGTGCTATCTATTCCCGTATAGTCATGTTCAAACTTTTCAGGGTCACAAGCTCCTTTAAAGGTTGGCACATTAATTTGATTTTACATGCTACTTCAGGGAACTCTCAGGCCTGCCCTAATACCCATTTCAAAGTCAGCTTTTGTGCTGATTTCCGTTGAATGAGAGACAGGTCAATGTGAATTGCTTCTGTAGGACATTTTCTTGAATTAAGTAAAGAAAGGCAAAATGGCAAAATTCTATTTATAAAATTATTATGAGGTGTCCCAAGTAAAATTATGTCCCTAGTCTTGACCCAAGACACTTCCTAGATTCGTTGCCTTGCTCCTGGCTGTGACCAAATACCCGAGAAAAAGCATTTTAAGGTCAGAAAGGTTCCATTTGGTTTGTTATGTAGGAAGCAGAGTCCATCATGGTGAGGAAATCATGGTGGCAAGACTTTGTTCACATCTTGTCCAATCAGGCAGCAGAGAAAGGAGAATACTGGTGGTCATGGAGCCTTTTCCTTTCCCCTTTTATTAACTCCAGACCCCAGTCTATGGATGGTGCCAATCCACATTCAGAATGGGTCATTCTTCCTCAGGCAGACTCTCTAGAAACTCCCTCAAAGACAAAAGTGTAAGCCTGTCTCCCTGTGATTCCAAATCCTGCCAATTTGGCAACTTACAGTTAGGCTAGGAGTAACAAAGTTACCACAGTTTCCCCAGGAGAGAAGACAAGGACCCATAGGGAGAAAATGTGAGCAATGCGTGTCTGTACTCCCTTCTCTGCTGAGAACTAGCGGCTGGCTAATCGCTTCCAGCTGCTGGTAATATATCATTGGCTTAGAGCACAGAAATAAAAACCAAAAGTAAAACTGGATTTTTTTTAAAGCATAACCAGGGAGCATTTAATATTTTATTTATTTGTTTGTTTCATTGGTCTTCTCCTGTCATAGCATGGACAGAGATGGCGCCTTATTTGGGGAAAAGTCTCATACAGGAATGGCCAGAATTATGTTAATTGTAGTCAGAATGGTTTAGCAAGCTGATTCTGGTAGCGATCATCTCCCGTTAGGATGCACCTTGATCTTGCTCCCTATTATACTATGACTCTAAGAAATTCTCTTTGTGCTGGCGGCAAACAGTGCACTGTTTTCATAAGTGGTCAAATAGTCTCTAAAGGTCACTGTTTTAGAGGCTAGCCACGTAAACCCCAGACTCTTGGGATTGACAAGGAAAGACAACTGCTGCATTTATGGCTCTCAAACTAAATTGAACTTTCTTGGTGCTTAAACGTGCTTTAAAAGCCTGCAGCTTTTAGTCTTTCCTAGTCAGTCATTCATTCCTTGTCAGGAGTTAGTCTCAGTGGAGAGCTGGACTGAGGGCAACATTTTGGGATGGGATAATCACAACTTGATCTCAGAATTTGCTTGTGTGTAAAGGAAACGTTTGAAGGTGCCATTGCTTTTGCATTCATGACAAACGAAAGCTGACCTGTTACTAGAGTTTCCCCCTATTGTAAAATAATAATATAGACAACCTAAAGCATAGGCAGCTTTTTATCAAAGCAAGTGATGGGCACAAAGGCTATTAGCAATCACAGTAGCAAGTGCTGTGGTGTGCTGCAAGGACACTCTTTTAAATACAGGTCTGTGAACTGAATACACCTTCCAAAAAGGTTTTTCAAGTCCTTTCCGTCCTCTCCTCCCATTTTACTCTACTCGAAATGTTTTGGATTTTTATTTGTAAAATAAAATTGCAGGATGCTGTTGTCAAAAGGACGATAACACCTCTCCCTGGCCTCTGTATAGGAGTGGATGGCTGCCAGTTAAAGCCACAGTGCCGAGGTTCGCAGCAAATAGTCAGGGCCCACTCTGTAACTCAGCCTGTTTGAATCTCCATTTGGGTGACTCAGTGTTCTGTCATTTTGGCATACAGGGGAAGACAGTAGACATAACCCAGTCTGGCAGGCTCTTTGTATTTGACAGTCTACAGTAAATCAGTTACGTATCCTTTTTTTAACCCAACATAGTACTCCCTAAATTTTCTCATGTTTATATTTCTCCCTGATTTGAGATGCATTAAGTGTTTGTACAGTTTTTGAATTAAAATATTAACAAAAGCTGTTTTCCAATTCCCATGACCCATATTTCCTATAGAAGACTTTGTAATGGTTCATTTATTCCTTACTTTCGCACCACGTACCCAATGTCTCAAATGAACGGGACTTTTGAGGAGATAAGGGCCTGGTAAATGTGGCAGGATATTCTCCAAAGTTTCCTTTGCCTCGTCAAATCCATCTTTGTTTTATCGAATTCTTGTTTAGCATAAACTCTGCTAGATGTTTCATGCTTTAGTATCGTGACTCGGTATTGGAATTTTTGCAGGGTGCTCAGGGTCCTCGAGGACCAGTGGGTGCTCCCGGACTCAAAGGCGATGGCTATCCTGGCGTGGCTGTAAGTGTGGTTGTGCCTTCTTTTTCATAGGGATAATTTAAAATTTATGCATATCAAATATACATATTTAGGCTATAGTATGATATATATTATATATCATGAACATATAATATAATTGACATCTTTGCTTCCTTAACCATTTATAATTTCTTTGTATTGGGAACCTTTGAACTCTATAAGCTACACAGTCCGCTGCAGCAGTGATGAAATCTTTCTTCCCTCCATCCCACGCTCTGTGTCCCTCCCTCCCTCTCTTCTTTTCCCCCTCCCTCCTTCTCTTATTCGTTTTCTCTCTGCATCCCTTCCTTTCTTCCTCTCCCCCTCCACTTTTCTGAGCATGCTACAAGGATGCTTATTCCCTTTCGTACTGTGTCACCTCAGGGACCTCGAGGAATGCCAGGACCCCCTGGACCAATGGGTTTACGTGGTGTGGGAGACACTGGAGCAAAGGTAAGACTTTTCAAGTAGGGCAACAATACCAGTTTCTGAGAAAGTACTTACAGGGAACCTTGGTAAGTGTGATTAACTTTTATCTGACACAATAGGAGAATAGTGATATATAGAATTATTGATGAGTTATTCACCCTTAACTATGGATTTTGGATTTCCTGGAAAACATGCCCATAAATACGTTGATTGACTTCTTCTTCTTCTGTACCTGGTCTGGGATCACCTCAGAGCCCTCATCTCTCCTTCCATCCTGCTCTTTCCCTAGCTTCTCATCCTGTCCCACAGCTTTCTGTCCTGTCTGTATGACGATGACGTCCAAGTCTTGAGCCTTCCTTCCTTAAGTTTCTTCTCATGTATCTAATTTTTTTACAGAGATCTTCTTTCAACTTCTTACAGACGTCTTTAACCTAACATGCAAACCAGAACCTCTACTTCTGACCCTGTGTTTCTGTAAAGGGCAGTGCTGTGCAGCCCAAGAACTTAGGCATCCTTGGTCCCTTCCTGGCCACAGTTTTCCTTTTCTCCGTTTCATTCTGACAGTTTCATGTTCAGAACGCACCTGCTGTCTGGATTGTTTCCTTCTGCAGCTTCCTTCAGACAAACCGCCGACATGCCTGGGTAACAAGATGGCCTCTCCCCTGAGCTTGACCCTTCCAGATCTGCCCTCCTCAATCAGAGTGAATGCTGTTCTTCTTAGAAGTTCTCTGGTGGCTTCTCTGGTCTTGGAGTGAAGCTCAGAAACCTCTCCCAGCCTTGGAGGCCCTTATGACCTGACATGGCTTCTGCCTATTTTCTCTTTCCTTGACATCCAGTCCCACTGGGCTGCTATCCTTGCAACTCTTTCATGCTTTCAGAGTCATGGCCAGATCTCAAGGCCTCAGCTAATATTTTCCCCCAGGCTCCCCTTACAAAACATCACCACCTCCCTTTACATGTGTCTCATGTGTAGACTGGATCACTCTCTGGGTGCTTATTTATTATTACTGGTGTTCTGTAAATTCCGTGAGATATAAGGTTTCTTGTAGGCATCCTCTTTGTAGTCTCTGCCAACCTCTTGACTCCAGAATTAAGTGTTACCACTCAGCTATAAAGTCTATTGAGTGAATGGGAAGTGAATGAATGATCAGGGCCTTTAAGGAGAGAAGTTTGTTTTTGATGACTCAGCTATTCACTTAGCTCTCTCATGCTTCTAGGTCATTGCAGAAAGATGGTGTGTGTGTTTAATGCTAACTGTTACCTTCCTCGTTGTTTCTGCTACAGTAATTAGCAGTGAGAATGCTTGTGTACCACTCCCCTATGATGCAGTGGATGCTTATGGATTACTCCCCTATGATGCAGTGGGAGCTTGTGGACCACTCCCCTATGGTGCATCGGGTGCTCATGGACCACTCCCCTATGGTTCAGTGGGTGCTCATGGACCACTCCCCTATGGTGGGTGCATCAGGTGCTCATGGACCACTCCCCTATGGTGCAGTGGGTGCTCATGGACCACTCCCCTATGGTGCAGTGGGTGTCATGGACCACTCCCCTATGGTGCAGTGGGTGCTCATGGACCACTCCCCTATGGTGCATCGGGTGCTCATGGACCACTCCCCTATGGTGCATCAGGTGCTTATGGACCACTCCCCTATGATGCATCAGGTGCTTATGGACCACTCCCCTATGGTGCAGTGGGTGCTCATGGACCACTCCCCTATGGTGCAGTGGGTGCTCATGGACCACTCCCCTATGGTGCAGTGGGTGCTCATGGACCACTCCCCTATGGTGCATCAGGTGTTCATGGACCACTCCCCTATGGTGCAGTGGGTGCTCATGGACCACTCCCCTATGGTGCATCAGGTGTTCATGGACCACTCCCCTATGGTGCAGTGGGTGCTCATGGACCACTCCCCTATGGTGCATCAGGTGTTCATGGACCACTCCCCTATGGTGCAGTGGGTGCTCATGGACCACTCCCCTATGGTGCATCAGGTGTTCATGGACCACTCCCCTATGGTGCAGTGGGTGCTCATGGACCACTCCCCTATGGTGCATCAGGTGTTCATGGACCACTCCCCTATGGTGCAGTGGGTGCTCATGGACCACTCCCCTATGGTGCATCAGGTGTTCATGGACCACTCCCCTATGGTGCAGTGGATGCTTATGGACCACTCCCCTATGGTGCATCAGGTGTTCATGGACCACTCCCCTATGGTGCAGTGGGTGCTCATGGACCATTCCCCTATGGTGGGTGCATCAGGTGCTCTTTTCTCCTGCCAGTCCCGAGGAGAACAAAAGATTAAAGGCCCTTGGCAATAATGAGCATCTGCAAGAGCTATTTTCACATCTGCCTCAAAATGATGGAATTTTGGGGGTAATTGTGAGAATCTCAGTGAGAGGTGTCACTGAAAGTGCCCCAAAAATGCTATATGTAGAACTTGAGATGATCTGATCAAAGTTTAAGTGTTTGAATCAGATCTTTGAAGAAGTCTTAATGTTGTCAACAAACTGTATTCAGATATTAAGTCAGTGTTTTCTTTAACACATAGCATCTAGCAAAACATTAAAATTTAATAAAATAGAAAGATTCAGTACATAGTATCATTACTTCCTGCTCCAAGTGAAACATTGGTAAACTCTTTTGTTATTATACTAAATATTTCCCTACAGGAAGCAGAAGCTTATTTCTGTTTAAAATAAGATATGAAATAAAATATGTTAAATCTGTACTTGACTGTGTTTGTGTTGTAATGGAAACATATGGGCATTGATATTTTCAAAGAGTAGCTGGTTATGAATATTTATAAAAGTATTATTATATTAAGTTATTATGTTACTGCTTCATTTTTAGTATTAATAACTACACAGATAAAGAACATTTGAAACTTAATCCTTGTGAATATTCTTCTCTGTCAGATTACTTAATATACAGACTAAGGTATTTTCTGAACGATTTTGTATATCATCACAATACTGCAAAAATCTCTAGTACTTTCAGATTTTTAATTATTTTTGGCAAAAATACTGACAAAAGTGTTCTTACTTGCAAAATTTTACCCTACCTTTTTGATTTTAGAAGTAGCAAATGTGTTTCCAGAAGGCATACTGTGAGCAAAACTCATCTTGGCCTCCAAATTGCTTCCAGCAGTAGAGGGTGATGGGGGAGCACACTGGAACCTACCTGTTTCTGTTCATCCTTCCTCTGAGCTGCCTTTGCCCTCTCTGCTTTGTCTTCTGTTTCTTCCTGTGCAGAGTGTGTCAGCCACAGGAACACCAGCTCAGGAAGAGATATTATGAGTATGAACTTGTGTTGGAATCAAAGAAACTTTTAGTCATAGATTTGAAAATAAAGACAATTCTGGAAGCAGACACTAGCTTTTAAATAATTTTCAAAATCATCTCTCCTTTTGCATAGAGGCCCTAAGTCTCATTTGGCCTTCCCTTCTGGAGAAGACTGTGAAAGCACACATATTCACAAACACATACACAGACATAAATGAGGAAAGTAAGGGAGATATTTGGAAAAAGTTGACTTTAGGTTAACTTCGTTCTTCCAATAAAGTAGAGATCAAATCACCAAAAATTGTCAATAAAGCAACAGAAGTCTAGTACCCAAATATATGACAAACCTTTCTGTTACTTTGAGTTAAAATATCAGAGAAATTATAAGTATCTAGAGGGGTGTGTGTGTGTGTGTGTGTGCGCGTGTGTGCGTGTCCATCCACATTTATATCCTGATATATGTTTTTCATTTAAACTCTGTGTAGTCACCTTAAAGCCTTGGCCTTAAGGCATGAACTTTCAAAACAAATGTGTTTGGAAATGAGGAAACTATTAAGGCTGATGATTAATTTATGATGGTTTATGTGATATTTAGTTAAGGTCACATGTGTTTAGCATATGACACAAACATTAGAATCAAAGTGTCTATGTTTCAAAACATATTAAAACCAATGCCTGGCATCTAGCACCCTGTGGAACTCTGCTTTCCCCTAGTGGAAAATGTTTATAGACCAGCACATTTTGGCAAGAATTTCTGAGTTATTTCAAAATTCTTATAAACATTTTCAGGGACAGCAGTAGATGTAGGTTTGAAGGTCTACCTGGGATCACACTGGGAAGAGCCAGAGCATTGGTCTCTTTCTGAGGGGAAAAAGCTCATTTTGTGTCCTGATGTCTCAACCCACTCTGATGGAAGTCATCCTAAGAGACCCAGCCCATCTCTGCCTGCATCCCTCCACCGAGCCCCGAGAATAAAAGGAATCCCCGTGATTTGAAGACAATTTTGAGGTGCTCTCAGATTCCTTTTAAGGGCTGCAGCTAAGTCATTGCTCTTCCGTCTTTCCCTGAAAAGCCAGGAGATGAGAGAGAACTGGCCCTCAGATAAGTCCCCGGCTTGGAGTTTGATTCTGGCTTTATTGAAATAAAATACTCTGAGCTCCATCTTGCCTGGTCCTCTTGTTCTGTTAGTGCCAAGGAAAGTCAAGGTATCATCCAAACTGGTGGAATGGTTTTATATAGACCAATCCTTTAAGCTAACCTAGATTTAGGGGCATTCCAAGGGCTACTTAGCTATCAAGTACTTGAAAGAACATCTGTCCACAGAAGGATTATTGGGTTATTATTATTTTTTGAATTATGATAATGGTTTTATAATTAGCATTTATTACCTAAATATTCCTAACATTGCATTTTGAACATTCCCCCTATTTTACAGAGAAGGAAATTAATGATCAGAGATTGAACAACTTGCCTCTTTACAATGTAAACATGGAATAACATGTGTGTTTTGTGTTTGGGAGGGCAGCTATGAATCTGATGAGTGACGGATGGAATGGAGGAACACGTTAGAGGAGGCAGAATGACTTTCCAGACCCCGGCGCTCGGTCTCCATTGCTGTCTGTCATCTGATCACTTTTCCATCACCAAAACCCAGGTTGTGTAAACTGCAAAGATACGCACAAACCCAACCCAAAAAGTGCTAAACACTGCCCCAAACTTTAAATATTGAGTATTGTGAA